TTAATATTAATATTAATATTATAATATTATTGATAAATTAATATTAATATTATTAATAACATATTTATAGATAAATTAATAATTTTTAAATATAAATTAGTTGTATATTAATATATTTTTACAGAAAAAAATCATATTAGACAAGATAAATATATTATTAAAAAATTTAATTAAAGATATCAATACATCATGTTAATTGTTAGTGCCACATTAAGAAAATTATGATTTTAATGGGATAGATTAAAATCGTATGATTTTGACAATTAAAAAATTAAAATTATTTAATTAAAAATTGAAAAATCAAAATCACAAATTAGAACAAATTAGAATATTTGATGGACTAAAATTATAATTAAAATTTGAGAGATAAAAATTGCACAACTATAATACTTGAAAAATGAAAAAAACATATTTAAGCCTTAATTCAAGAACATACATGTTGTAAAGTATGTAATTGAAAGAGAAAAAAAAACTACTAACGGTATAAATTTAAATTGATTGAAAACGGGAAAAAAATGGTTATGATTGAGTTACAAAATAAATTATATGTAAAATTATTAATAAATATTGTACTCATACGTTATGTGAATGATTTATTTAATAGAGAATAAATGTTCAATTTTTATTATGTATAAAAATTTGTTAGACTAGTAATAATTATATTATCACGAAACGAGATTAGTTTTTAATTTAATAAACTAAAACATATCCGTGACAAAAAATTTATTAATAAATGATGTTACATAATTTTATAAATGTAACACCCCAATTTTTTAAAAAGGTACTTTTGTAATTAATGGCATTTTGTAATTTTAATAAAGGAATAAGGGTATTTTTGTAATTTTATTATTAATGGCATTTTTGCAATTTTATTAAAGTTTGAGAGATAAAAGGGTAACTTGGAACGGGCTGTTCCAAAATTGGAACGGGCCGTTCCAAGCAATAAATATATACTGAAATTTCAAGTTGAGAACGGGACCAGAACGGGTCGTTCCAACAAGGAGAACGGGCCGTTCCGGATGGAGAACGGGTCATTCCGGAGGGAGAACGGGCCGTTCTGGATGAGTCCCGG